ATGATACTGAGACTGACTACTACAGGATATGGATATCTACCGTCGCGCAAATGTGTTCGAGCGTGTGCTTTCCTTCTATGACTCACCTAGTGTTGGGGTCTCTGCCAAAAGGAAGATTCTGCATCTCCTGTACCGATCGACACAGGTTGGAGGCAGTACAACCTTAATTACCAGGGCAGGAGTTGTCAGCTGGATTCAAACCCAGCTCCCGGTAGTGAATACTAAAGAGGCTGCTACCTTTGCAGCCATGGCCGACACCTTGCGTCTAACAGCGGACCAGGACCGAGTCACGAAATGGAGTGGAGGGGCAGTGGCACAGGTTATTGAACATGTCGCTGGATAGATGTTCTCTGGTATTCTGGCAGGAGCACTTTATTGATCCTTCATTTATATCATTGGGATTGTCTCGCAGGTTGTCTCATTTAGCCGCGAATTGATGGGGTCCCCTGGTGCATTGTCAGCGATGTCATGTGCTTATTTCTTGAAGGAAAACCATTCACCATTCATCATCATATTCTTGCATGTCTATGTAGACATTTAACAATAATTATACACTTCTCCTGCTTGGCATAATTTCGGCATGATAATGTCACGCTCGCATAGTAGGCTTAGGCTGTACATCATGTAGTAAGATGGTTAAGTATCTCTTAAATAGCAAGTAGAATATTGAAAACCAGATGACTCAATTTCTTTACCCTAGCTCGAGGTATTTGTGGAGGGAGAAGAGGTTGCACTGGCAAAAGAGCGAGAGCTGAGCTGAGGCTGGTTGATATATGCTGGCCGCTTTTACCCCTTTGGGCAGTGCAGACTGGGACGAAACGTTTTGCGGCCGAACGACTTTCTCCATCCCGACCTCATCTTCTCCGCCCGCACCATCAATTGCTCTCTCTACCATTCCCCTTGACTAAAGTCTTCCCGTTGAAATTGACAGTGTGATCGTATTATCTACTATCCAGATTATCCTCAAACTTACTCTGTCGAAGCAATCCCAAAACATAACCATCCTTGTTACCCCTCATCCATTCCCAAGCACACTTTGATCCTTCGCCGATTTCACCTCCGCTTGCCGCCTTGCCACTGGCAAGTGGCCTCGCTTTTCCATTTGACCTTTTATCCTTCGAGACCACCTTTCAGTCGATTGAGAACGTCTTCACTCAGCGATCTATCCTCGGCTCATAAAACTTATTCCTGTCTGCGGCGCTCGTGCCTCTAGAAGGTGTGAACCAATGAGCACGCGGTAACACTCTGATCTTCATATCACACACACTGCCATCCTTATGGCGCGACGTTACCAGATCGATGAGCTGCTATGGCTGCGCTCATCGCCTCTGGTCACTAAGCCTACAAATCTACCACCGGTAGAAGAATGGATGGGGTAAGAACAATATCGCTCGCTTCCAGTGACCGTGCTTATCTCGCTCGCTCCCATGATACTGACGAGTTCCCTCATTATCAGCCCGATCCCTGACCCAACAACGCAACGAAAACCTACAAATTCTAGAGACCCCACGAATCCAAACGAAACAACGCCTAGAAGACCAAGCCTATTCGAGAATCGCCATATCTCGAGAAACTCAAATTCAGGTAAATGACGCCATTGTCCACCTTTTCATATGCCGAGACTCGCTAACCCGGGGCTGTTGTTGAAGAAGATATTGTTCTCGGACCTCCCAAAACTGCTTTCGCATCTGCGTCTCGCATATCCGGTAGCAAAGGCTCGATAGATTTCACGGACCGTCCCTCCCGTCAGGTCGAGTCTGATGAGCCATCAAACGATCGCTTCAATCTGCGAGACAAGTTCTTCAAGGACAGGGAAGCCGGAGATAGAGACTTTGATCGCCGTGATGGTAAACCAACGCCGTTCAACAGTCGTCGTGGGGAAAGAGAAGAATGGAACAACGGACGACCGCGTCGTACCTTTGGCCAAGAGGATCAAGACAGAAAACCCAGACGCAATGTAGAATTCGACCGTTGGAACCGTGACCAGAGGGAGCAGACTCTTGAGCGAGGAGTGAGAGAGAAAGAAGGACAATTTACTCCTAGGAAAGATGGTACGCCGGGTCGAGCTAGACATGAAGGAAGCTGGTTCCGTGATGACAACGCCCAAGACGGTCCAGAAACGGAAGACGAGAAAGTCTCAGTACGGAACAGAGATTGGCGCCGAGATAGACATGGTGCAGATCGTGACTGGAGTCGGGGAGCCAAGTTTGAACAGGACCCTGAGTGGATGGACACGAATGACAGAGATGAGTCGCGTAAGGTGCATACGCAAGAAGATTTTGAGCGCTGGAAAGAGCGAATGAAGGCCGGCTCTTCGCAAGCACAAGTGGAGGAGAAGAAAGAAGCTCCCTCCGAATCGGTTGCCAGCGGACCTGCGCAGCCTGCGCACCCCGCGCAACCCGAACACCGACCCACGGATGGCGAAATATTCAGTAGCAACGGTGCGCCTTTCCAGTCGGATTCGGCGATGGAGCGTTTCTTTGGACTCCTAGGTGATGCGAAACCCGCTCAGGAGGTCGTCACACCCACCCCCGTGGAAATACCTAGCAAGAAAGAGCCAGCACCGGGAAAGCCTGGAAAGTCGTCTCGATTTGCCGGGTTGTTTAGTCCGCCTCCAGGGAGCCCAGCGAAGGAATCGGAGCACCAATTTGGAACCAGATCACCAGCTCCCCAACTTTCAACCAATGATGCGGATCAAGAAGGGTTCCAGCGCATCTTGCAAATGCTTGGAGGAAGCAAATCGCGCAATGCGACACCCCAAATCGACAGTGCACAGGCCCCTCGCCCAACCATGGTGCAAGCCGATTCAGCTCTAAGTGCTCTTTCTTCTCCTTCTAAGGACTCGGTGAAACGGCCAGAATACATGGCGATGCCGGATGCCCACGCTCACAGCACGCCTCCCACAATCCAAGAAAACATACACGCACACGACTCCCCTTTCAAGGACTCTCAGCCTCGCGACAGAGAGCATCTTCTTCGTTTAATGCAACAGGTTAGAGTGAGTCCGGTCGCTCCACAACCTCACGGACTTCACGGTCAACCTCAAAGTGCCGGTTTAGCACCTGGTCTAATGAATGTGCCGGAAGTATTGTCCCGCCCCCCGGGCATCCCGTCTGCTCAGAAAGGACACAATTTCTTGGATGACCCCGCAATTGCCAACATGCAGAGACCAGAGGCTGATCAGCTTCGGAGAAGACCTGCCAATGGTCCGCCCATGGGTTACTTTGATGAGGTCCCATTTCCCCAAGGCGGACATATGCCAATCACCCCAGGTGCCTCCAGGCCTCCTCAAGGGCAGGGCCATCCTGGCATGGGTATTCAGCGACCACCGGGCTTTGAGCATCTTCCACCTCCAGGATGGAATGGTCCTCAGATGCCTCCGCAGCAGGGTGGCGGCCCCAGCCCCTTAGTTCCTCCTCCTCCCGGCATTCCAACCCCTACACGAGGTGTCAACCCGAACTTCATGATGCCGCCTATGCATAGCAATGTTCCTCCTCCCAATGAACGCCAACTTTTCCCACGCGGTGCGGGCGGCCCCCTCCCACCAGGGATGATGCCCCCTCCTGGTTACATGAACGTCCCCCCGCCATCCGCTTTCCCGCCTATGCCCCATAATAGTGACGCTATTCTGGGACTTGGTCATGGTGGACAGGGCCCTTTTGAGGGTAACCCCGGTCCACAAGGACCTCCTCCATCCTCCAGACATCTTTTGGACATGTTTGGCCAAGTTGGTGGCCCAGGGCAGTTCAGGTAGACGAGTACGGCGCAGACAAACCATGCCTCAAGCGTGCGCAGGCTGGAATTCCTGATGTCATGATACCCCTTTGCTGGAGCATTTTGAGTTGGTTTTGTTGTTTGTTTGCAATTTCTTAGCTAACTTATGCTGTTTTTTAACCCCGTTTCACTCTTATGCCTCGCAAAGGGGGTATTATGGTCTCACTGGAATGGCTTTGCTCCAATGCTGCGAGGATATTGTTCGGGTATGACTTTTGACGAGGCGGTCGTCCTCTCAACTTCAGTCTCTCGAGGATCGTATCTGTCATGGCAATAGTGATCGTGATTGTGATCGTGATTGTGATCTACTCCTGCTAGTTAGCTTATGAATCTCGATCAACTACATGGACGGTCAGCTTCTACCCAAGGTGTTGTGATCTAGGAAACTGTGTAATATCTATCCTTAAGTATGAGGAGTGTTCTTGAGACTTGGTAACTTGTCGCTCCCGGTAGTATCTTCTGTCAGTTGTTTAGTCTACAGTCAAGGACAAACCACCGAGGAGAAAGGGTTTAGCTAAACATGTCTCCTGCTTGAACCCGCTAAACTTCTCCCTTCTCTGGCTCTGAATCGCCTCCAATCGGTTTGTCACCCAAGCTATGAAAGATGTACTTTGAACTCTTGAATCTGCTCTAAACATCAGACCAATGGATCATGGTGTGTGAAGTGCTGCACTCTATCGCAGGGTCCGGACATCTTTACTCCACCCTCTTACTCTCTCTACTAGTCTTCTCAGTCATGTTTACAAGCTCGCATCCTACCATCTCCTAGATCAACTCTCGCATCTCTTCTTTGTCTCCTCAGTATCGAAGTAAGTACTTCAAACAGCGTTCTGGCTCGAGAGCCTTACGCTAGACCGTCCACTCCGTCCACTCCGTCCACACTGATTGAATACACAAGTCGGTTCTTGCATTTTAACCAAAAGTTGTCTGCTCTTTGATGCTATCATGCCATGTATGATCCAACAGAATAATCTTCCTTCGAGTCGGGTACGTCGCAGCTGGGATATCTCCTGATTCCTTTTAAGGCCCGCACAGCGGTCGACTACAGCAGTCACCTCCCCTCAACTTGCAAGATTCCTGACACATAGCACTCTATCCTTTCTTCTTTCATGGCTAAAATCCTGGAAAGCGACAGTGTATAGTCTGCGGACATGAAACTCCTCATCATTGAGCCTTTTTCTGCGAGACAGCTAACTTGCCATTTCTTGCAGACACCTTCACACACCATGATGGACGAAATAGACTTTGAGCTCTGCCTGAATGTAGATCAAGTGGTGAGTCAATGATAGGTATTCATGATATCAGGATCATACTGCTAACAAGCAAATGACACAGACGACTGCCTTCGGCCGTGAGAAGAGAAATCGTTACCCTATACACAATAATACAAACAGCACTACATCACGAATTCGAACATACGAGGAGCTCAGAGATAGCACTGCAGATGAGAGCGCGATAACCCCTATTCCACCGGCCAAGCGAGCGAGGATATCGCAATCCGAAGTTTCCTACCAGACACAATTCGCGAACGCAAGTCATCAGGGCACAGGGATGCTGCTGGGTTCTAGTCAGGTTTTCAATCATCATACCGGTTTCTTCAACTTTCAAAGCTATCAGCAAGGTCCTGTCGATGCGAACGGCGTCTTGCCTGCTGTGCCTCGCCGAGCTATGAGCGAAGAGACGGACATAGACATGATGTATATGGGGAGTGAAACGGAGACAGAGGTTGAGACAGAGGCGCCTCCTGAGAGGTTCCATGGTCAGTGCCCGATTCATTCGTTTAGTACTTGGTCAAATCCAGCTTTTAGTGGAGGGCTTGGAAACTTCCCTTCGCAGCGCAACAATTCGACAAACATGTTTCCCATCTACGAGGATCCGGTGGATATGGAGATTGAGGGTGTCTTCTGCGGAGAGGATTGGTACTCCTCTCCCGACGAAGACAAGGAAAATGTTGAGAATGGCCATGAGCAGGGTAGTCAATCAATCAATCAATCAAAGTTCTATTAACCTAATTCAGCTTTACTATAAGAATGTAAGCTATGTAGGCGCTTCACTAGTTAAAGCAAGAACCTGGTATCTAAATGCCTAATTTAATGTTTTGTAGTTTTCTTCCTAAAAGGCAGTCCTATAGAAAAGGAAATATAGTGCTTATAATAAAATAGGAAATAATTACTAAGATATAGCTAAAGTTAAAAAGCTCCCTTCCCCTTCCTCTACTACTATTCTATTACTATTTCTACTGTGTTTATTACCTTATCTTACTTCTCTATATTATTAATTCCTTATGTACTTACTTTCTCTACCTAGTTAATTTAGTTCTAGGCCTATTTAATACTTTATACCTAGTGTCTTCCACACCTATCCCATGGCCATTAGGCCTATCTATTCTTAGCCTAGAGGCAGCTCTGATGTTAGCTCTACCTATTAGAACTAACCTAGCAGGCCTATTTAATAAATAAATTTAATGAGGTAGCAGCTCACCTGCAGGTCTAATACTAATATATTATAATTAGTCCCCTGGATTCCCTTATCAGCTAGCTTATCCAGTATTATCTTTCTAATATCTATATATTATAAATACTGTAGAAGAATATGCTAGGGTGTCTGTAAGCCTTCTCTATACTTATAGTAGTTATAGTCTTTCACCTTAATCTTGTAGAGGAAGTGGTTTAAGCTGATCCTCTATATATATATCTATATTAATATTAATATATGTAGCTTATTAAGGCCTTAATACAGCTTTAATATTACCTTTCTAGATATCTTAACCAGCTACTATATTAGCTTAACCCCCCTTTCTTACTCCTAAAGCTTCCTCTAGTAATCCCTAATATATTATTAGATCTCTTATTTAGCTGCAGCAGCTAATTAGATTATCTTTTTACTAGTTCTAACTAAGCTTAATTTAACCTCTAGACCCTGCAGTGCTGCCTCTCTAGTAGTCTTATCTATAGTCTTATTCCCTTTTAATACTCTAATATACGCTGGGATCTAGTAGATAATAATATTAAGGTTTAGAGAGGCCTATATAACATCATATATCTACTAGATAATATATTAACCTAATAGTTATCTAGGGTTACTTACAGCCTGGATTACTACTTAGCTATTAATAAATATTATCACCTTCTGGGAGTTCTGGCTAGTATTCTAGCTATTACTCTAGCTACCCTCTAGAGCTATCCTAATCCTATAAAGCTCTGCTATATATACTATTATATCTCTTTCTATCCCTAGATATTATTATTTAATAACTCCTACTTAAGTATTAACTATAGATACTCCTACTAGTCCTTCTAGTCTACTCCTATCTATAAACTATATATTTTATTCTATAGTATCCTTATATATCTTATTATGTTCTTCTTTAGCTGCCTCTTAGCTACTAATAATATACTTAATAGGTATCTCCCATAGTACTAAGACCTATGCCTTTTATAACTCCTACTCTTAGTTAGGTCCTAATACTAATACTAACCCTACTATCTTACTCTATTTAAGTACTTCTAGGGGTGTCTATCCCCTCTATCTTATTTCCTTTATATCCCTCTATTTAAGCAGTCCTTCTGGATATGCTTAAGTTAGCCTAGTTTAGATATAGATAGCTATTTCCTTAATTATCTATTATATCTATAGTTAGATTAGTAGTAGATAAAGTTCTATATTAAGTACTACTATAGCAGTGCTTTTAAAGGCCCTACTAATTAGAATTACTACTTATCTCTAGATCTTTATATATTTATTTATAATCTTATTAAATTTATAAGTAGGGATTTATCTACTTACTAGGCTATACTATACTACCACCCTATAGAGCAGCTATAGGATGACTACAGCCTGGTAGACCCTCTATATAGCTATTAGTAATATCCCCTAGGTTAAGTCTATAATACTTTTCAGTACCTCTAGACTAGCATTAGCCTTAGCCAGTGCCTTTATCCTGTGGGTTAAGAAGCTAAGGCTTTTATTAAGCTAGATCCCTAGATACTATGCTAATTCTGTTAGCTTAATAGTTAGATTAGTCTCTAGATATCATACACCTATCTAGTCATTCCCTACTAGCTCCTCTAGTATTTCCTATATATTATTTAGTTCTATATATACCTTATTATCTTCTTTCTCCTCCTCTAATTTAGGATTCTTGAAATAAATGAGCTTAAATTTATCTAGGGTAAACTTTAATATATATTAAGATACCTACTTATCTACCTTAATAAGTACTACCTCCAGTAGCTTTATATTATTTATATATAAGTCTGATTTAGCTAAGATAGCTATATTATCTACCTAGCTAAATACCCTAGTTAAGCCTGTTCTTTTATACCTTATCATGGTGTGTAGTAGTAGTGAGTTAAATATAAGGTATAAAATTAGTAATAGTAGTAATCCTTATAGGATACTAGTTAGTATTAAGAATAGATTACTTATATATTCTAGTATTTAGAGTCTAGTATATTAATTATTAAGAAATAACTATAGCTATGCTGCTAGCCACTCTAATCCTATTTTCTTAATATTATAGATTAGTTAGGTATAGGAGATATTATTAAATACCCCTAATATATCTTAGAGTAGTATTATAACCTTCTTACCCTTCCCCTACACTTAATAGACTCTGTCTATAATTATTTAAATAATATAGTCTATAGAAACACCTTTCCTACCCCCTAGGTATCCCTTAGGGAATAGTCTATACTTCTCTATAGCCTATACTACTCTATTAGTAATAATTAATTCTAATACCTTCCCTAGCATGTTAAGCAGCACTACTAGTCAGTATAATTTAGGTATATAGTAGTTATATAGGCTAGGCTTCCTTAACACTACTATAACTAATATCTAGAAGTATGCCAGATTATAACTAACACAGATATATATATTAAATATATATATTAGTACCTTAATAAATACTAGTATAGTCACCAGTATATACCAAACCTAGTTTAGGATAGTATCTACTCCTAGAGCCTTATCTAAAGGTGCTCTTTTAATTGCTTTTATAATCTTATACAGGGTAATATTAGGTATATTAATTAGTTTAGGGTATCTTATATTTATATTAATATTACTTAAATCTGCTAGCAGTAGCTCTAGGAAGAAGATCTTCCTAAATACCTCTATCTTCTTTTCTATAGTGTCTGCCTGGCCATCTAGTATTAGTATAACTTCTATTATCTACTATCTTATCTATACCTATCTAGCTAAGTGCTAGAGCCCCCTTAGGCCCTTTTCCACCACATTCTAGACCTGCTTTTAATAGCTCTGGTACAGAGCTTAGGCTATAATTCATGCTTTTTAGTTTCTAGATAGCCTATACTTATTCCAGGCGCTCTCTATCCTTCTCTTATTAAATATTCTATATAATTACCTCATTACTTTAATTGCCTATCAGTACTTAGGGGTAAAGGCAGGATTCAACCATTTACTTAGCCTTACCTATAGGGTTGATTTAGCTATTACCTATTAGACAACCTCTATCAGATAGTCAGTTATATGGTTGATTTAGTCTACTGTATCTAGTTAGTATTTAGTTATTAGTAAATTAGCACTAATAAACACCTGAAGCTTCTTCTCATCTATAGCCTTCCAGTTCTGTTATTTCTGCTATTCTAGGGGTGGTGTATATATATTAATTAATATTCTAATTAGTAAATAGTCTAAATCTGCATGGCATTCTAGGGCAAGCTCACATGCAACCATTCAGCTGGTCAGTCTTTAGGATCTAAAGACTAGGTTAATTATGGTCTAGGAGCTATTTTTATCTTATGTAATTATTCCTAGTTTAATCTATAGGTCTAAGAGTTTCCTATTAGTTAGTTCTAAAAGTTCCTCTACTATAGTATCTTAAATAGCATCCTTACTACCCTACACTAGGTAGTGGAGGTTGAAGTTGCCTATTATAAGAGTCTTACTATTCTATTATCCTATTAAATAGACAGTTAATTGGCTTGTTATTAGGTTATTTAATTAGCTAGTTGTGGATGGTATTAACTAGTCTAGTTATTCTATTATATTAGTGCTAAGTTTATTATATATATTAAAAATATGTAGTTCTCCTTATTAGTACTAAATAGTAAATTCTTATATATCTTTTAAATATGCTGTGTACTTCCACCTTTAAGGGTTAAGTAGATATAAGATAAACAGACATACCCATATCTATTCCCTGCTAGTCTTAGCAGCTATTAGGTATAGGAGCTGGTATGACTACTTCACTAGATAGTATGTTATATTATTATTATATAGGTTAATCCATAGTTCCTATATAGTAATGATATTAGCTTCAAGGATGTGCTTATCCCTCAAAAACTAAGCTATTACTATATCTTTTAACTAGTTCATATTATATTAAATGATATAAAGTAGCCTTCTAATTATTATATTACTTTAGTAGTTATATCCTTAGCCTTTTAGCTAGTAAGTGTCTTAGTATTATGCTTTCTCCTAACTAACCCTTTAGATGCTAAAGAGCTATTTATATCTATCTCTAAGAGTAGTTAGTAGTTACTCCTATTAATAGCTATTATATTAGTAGGTTCTTTATCTAAGTCTTTATAAATTAATATCCCTCTCTATCTAGCTATAAGCCTATTCCTTAGCTCCTTTCTTATATTTAGCTTCTCCACAGCTGGCATGCTAGCCTGAAGGATCTATTTCATCTATTTAGGTATTATTCTTATAGTTAGTTATATTAATATAATATAGCTTCTTATTAATTATCTTAGTCTAATACTACTTATACTGCTGGCTTCTATTCCTCTCTCTAACTAACTAGTGGTCACTAGTTCTATATTTAGGTAACTAATAACTTCCTAGAAGAGGGATATACTAGCTCCTAAACCCTTACTTACTTAGCTTAATACTGTTCCCTTATTTAGCTTAGAGCTAGTTATATTAGTGGTTATTTCTTAATTTAACTATCCCATATTAGGCATATTAGTTAGTATAGTAGTTAAAAGCCCTAAGCTACTACTTATAGAGCCTTCTATAACTTATGTAAGGGACCC